CGAAGATATCTAGGTAGTCCCTGAACACATCGTTTATGAAATGTTGGAAGGTGGCAGGGGCGTTGCATAGGCCGAAGGGCATAACCAAATATTCAAAGTGTCCGAATCTGGTACGGAATGCTGTCTTCCACTCGTCCCCCTCTCTGATACGAACTAAATTATAGGCACCTCTCAAGTCTAGTTTAGTGAAGACAGATGCTGACTTCAGCCTCTGAAACAGCTCGGGGACTAGTGGTAGCGGGTAACGGTTCTTTACTGTGACCTTATTCAAGTCCCGGTAATCTACGCAGGGCCGGAGGGACTTGTCCTTTTTCTCCACAAAGAAAATGCCCGCCCCGGCTGGTGACGTGGAGGGTCTAATAAACCCCTTATGGAGGTTTTCATCTATATATTCTTTTAGTACCCCTAACTCCCGCTCGGATAAGGGGAATATCCGCCCAAATGGGATTTCCGACCCTGGGAGGAGATCAATTGGGCAGTCATAAGCTCGGTGCGGGGGGAGAGTGTCCGCCCCCCGCTTGCTAAACACATCCAGAAAACTATGGTAGACTGACGGAATGATTTTATTAATTCATATTGTGTTGCGCTCCTGATAAAAAATCTCTACTGTGTTAATAATTCTATCTACCCAAGTAAATATTTATGTAATCAAGTGATATACAAAAAATAAAAAAAATATATGGACAGTGATTCAAAAAAACTAAATATAATATCCACTAATATAAAGAATATCTAAATGTGAAAATGATACTCCAAAAAAATACGTGATGCGATGATGTGTACTTGAAAATAAATATAAATAAACCAATATTACATCATGATTAGTGAATAATCAAAGAATGTGAAATATATAAAAATAAAATAAATATATATACACTGCAATAAAATAGATAATTAATTTGTGATAATAATATCCTTTAAATTCAGTGACTTTGTGCTTGATTAAATCTTGATATGGTGACTTATTGTGAATCCGTGACTCTCTTTGAATCCTTAATTAGTGAAGATGTATGCTCACCTCCTTATTAGCCTGCAATTAGGCTATATACACTTGTGGTTCACCTCCTATGGAACCTGCTTAGATGGAATTCCTCCTTTACAGATTGTGAAATGTGGATATCCGTTATCCTTAATTAGCCCATATGGGATTGATCACTCTTTGCGATACTCAAATCCCCTTATGATTTCCTCTCCATGCGTTTCTCCATATGTGGGGACAAATTGCCAAACATAGTGTTTTATCCTTATAAAAGATTTCTGCTTTATTGCTTCCAAAAGATACACTCACATTTGTTGTATGAAGTGTAAGACAAATTGCATAGCACGAGTAATCCGCCAGCCGTTGAGTCATGCACCCGCCGTCTGTCAAACAATCCGGCTTTCTCCGAGTGACATTCCAGCCCCACCCCTACGCGTTACGCCACTGGTCACGTGGCTTCATCAGGGGGTTGTGATAGGTTAGTCACTCTTCCATAGCCAGCTTAAATAGCACAACCGCGCCATTTTGTTGTCTATCCAAAGGGAGCGGTCATGTTTTTGGGGGCACTTTCACAGCTATAATATTATTGCCAATTGTTACATATGTTTCCTTACTGCTATGTCTACCCGGAGAAATTTATTGTGACATGACTCTGCGGTTTAACGGGATACAAAACAATCCTTTTTATATACAACAATATAACAATACTACACCTAAAAAAATGTATGTTATATTATACATATAGATGTATGTGTGTGACCACACACATCCATATATGTGAAAACTATTTATTAAATATAAAATGTATATAACAATAAAAATATATACACAGAGAATACTGTATATATATAGATTAAAGAAAAAATAAATAAAAAAAGGAAAATGTCATACAAAGAATAATTTATACAAATAATAAAAATGAGTATCTCCTGTACAGCATATCTACAATCTACCATTCTTCTGAACTATAAAAAAATATAAAATATATATATATAAATATATATATATGAGAAAATATGAAAATAAAAAATATATAAATTATAAAAAATATTAAAATAAAAATAATAAAAAATATATGGAATGCACAGTTACTCCCACCTAGACGTGATTCTACTAATACACCTGAATGAGTGGGCACGGAATATACCTTTAACCATAAACAAAAATTTATATATAAATGTATATACTCCTCTATCGTAATTGTTACCCATGATGAGGTGTTACTTAAATGCACAATCCATCTGACATATATATGTGTATTTGTGTGGAAAAATGAGAGACGAGCTGCTGCCGATATGATATTATTCCCCCATATTCATCACACAAATACACATACTAACCCAGGTAGAAGAAAAGGAACCATGTGTGAATAATAACTCATATATCATGCTAAAATCTAAACGTCACTAATAAAGCATGATAAATCGAATTCCTTATTAACCCCCCTGGTGCTAAACTGCCCAACTCATAAATCCAAAATGACTCTTTTTTACTAATTTCTCGCACTAAGTTATCTCCCCTCCAATGTGGATTATGTTTGGTAATACCCCAAAATTCTACTTTCTCTGTGTCTTGGTTATGGTGTTTTTTAAAATGTACTGATAGGTGATGATATTTGTAGCCTATACTAATATTGTGTATGTGTTCTTTCATACGTTCTTTGAGACCTCTTTTTGTGCGTCCTATATATAAATAATTACATGGACATTTCAGGGCGTATACTACACCCTTACTATCACATGTAATAAATTGGTCGATCTCATATTGTTTCCCATTTTTGGGGTTGATAAATGATTGTCTACGTCTTGGATTCCCATGCGTTCTTTTACAACTATAGCATCGACCACATCTATAGAACCCTGTCTCATTGAAAAAACTCAAGGTACTGATGGACTTCCGGGGAGGTTCTAATACGTTTTTGACTACTCGATCTCGAACATTAGATGCCCTTTTGTAAATAAACCGAGGTTTATCTTTAATAATGGGTTTAAGGGTCTTATCTAATTTCAATATATTCCAATGCTTGGATATAATTTTCTGTATATCTCTGTGTTGTTTGTTATAAGGTAATATTATCGATATATCTTGTTCATCTGCTTTATATTGTATTTTTCTTTTCTAATAATGTTGTTCTATCTATAACTTCTATTCTCCTACTTTCTTCTAATATAGTTTCTCTCTTATACCCTTTTATCCACAAACCTTTGGGTCAGTATTTTGCTCTGCTCTCTATAATCTTCTACATTGGTGCAATTACGTCGCAATCTTAAGAACTGTCCTCTAGGGACATTCTTAATCAATGGTCTGTGATGACAACTGTGTTGACAGGAATATATGAGTTACGATCTGTTTTCTTAAAATAATTTGTTGTTATTATACCATCCCAGACTGACGGAATGACTTGCGCCAGCTCCGCATCTGTCTCTAGACACAACAAAGTCGGTGGAATCGGGGAGATCTTAGGGAGGCAATGCTGCTGGCAGTATGGGGAGAGAACTGCATAGAACCCGCCTTCCAGTCCACCTGGGGATTATGGGCTCGCAACCACGGGAGCCCCAAAATAATTGGAAATAGTGGGGATGCTATGGCGTCCAACCGAAGGAGTTCTTCATGATGGGTCGATACGGTAGTACGGATAGGTGGGGTCTCATGGTCCACCACCCCTGACTTAATACGTGATCCATCTGCTAGAAAAATATTCAATCCCACCTCCTTGGTTTGTAGGGGAATTTGTTGCTGAACTGCAAAGTCTAAATCTATGAAGCAACTACACGCCCCAGAATCCACAATAGCCGTGGTCACCACTGTTCTCCCCGGCAGCTGAAGTGACACAGTACTGCTAGATAACTAGTGTTGCCCACACTGTTAGAAGTGACTGTAGAGAAAACAGCAGAACACTTACCCCTCTTGGCTGGACAGGTACGTACCACATGGCCTGCTCCCCCACAGTAGAGGCAGAGATGGTTGGTAAGACGCCTCTGGTGTTCCTCAGGCGTAAGTGTCGGCCGGATCCTTCCCGATGGCCCGGTCTCTCGGGTGTATTCATGGCATCCTGATTCTGGCTTGCCGGCTGTAACTGGGTTGAGGCCTGAGGGGGTGTGTTCCAGTTGATCCTTGTCCTTGGTTGCATCTTCCCTGCCTGCGCTCCCGCAACCGGCGGTCAATTCGAATAGTCAAAGCTATCAAGGCCTCCAAAGTGCTAGGTATGTCTATTCGGGCCAATTCGTCCTTCAGGGATTCAGCTAACCCTACGCGGAACTGGTGGTGCAGAGCCGCCTCGTTCCATTGGCAGTCACTATGCCAACGCCTGAATTCGGCGGCATAGTCCTCCACTGTCCGGTGACCCTGCCTGAGTGTATATAGGGCCCTCTCGGCCGTTGCGGTGCGCAGCGGGTCGTCATACAAGAGGGCCATAGCTTCAAAAAATACCGTCACTGACTGCAACAGTGGGTCTCGCTTCTCTCGGAGCCGGTGGGCCCAGTCTTGGGGTCCCCCCTGTAGTAGGGAAATAATGAACCCTACCCTCACCGATTCGGAGGAAAAGGTCTGAGGCTGGAGGTCAAAGTATAGCTGACAGGAGTTACGAAAGGCCCTGAATCTACTTCGGTCTCCGGAAAAACGTTCCGGTGTGGGGGACACGGGGTTCTGGTGCGGGTAACAACCCCGGAGTCTCCCTAATGGGTTCCCCAGACCCCCTGGTAGAGGTAGCTAAGGTCTGCATGCGTCTGTCCAATACCGTATAACCTTCCTGTAGGCTCCTAATTCCCAGTGTAAGGGTCTCCATCTGTTGGCAGATGTCGTCCAGAGGGGAAGTTCCCCTTCCAGGCTCAGTCATGGCCGCAAGGTACTGTCAGGCTCCGCCCAACGGGATCTCTAGTGGTCCACGGCACGAGGTTTCCCAGGACGCGGAGTCTAAGTCCCAGTCTGCCTTTTCACCAGGGCCCCTGATGGTGGGGATGGACTTGGTGCAAGACTGAAACCAGGTCGCGTCCCTGGGCACCCCCGGCGGTGGCAGAGGGGTCCCGCTGAGGGTATGTGCCCGGGTTGAGCCTGCTTTGAAGGGGACGACAGATCCCGATCCGAGCGGGATGGATGGGCAACTATCAGGAGTAGGCGAGGTCAGACTAGCCGGGTCGGTATTGTGCGGGCAGCGTGGTACAGGGGGAGTAAGCAGAGAATGGTCGGGGTCACAAGCCAGGTTCAGCAGGTAGCGGACAGCGCGGTACAGAGGGTCAGGCAGAAGGATGGTCAGGGACGGAAGCCGGGGTCAGAGCAGGAGAAGGTCAGCATAAACAGAACAGGCAGAGTTTGGCAACAAGGAAGCGTACTTACAGGACAGAAACAAGACCTTGCGGCAACTTGGAGATGCACAGGGCAGCTTTAAATAGAGCGCCCTGCTCTCCCATTGGTGCGGCCGCGATCGCTACTGCGCATGCGCGGCCGCCGCGATCGCCGAGGACTCTGCGCTCGCCGGCTGGGACGGATCGGCAGTCTGCGCATGCGCGCGCCACCGAGGACCCGGGATCCCTGACAGGTAGTGAGTTCCAGAGGATGGGGGAAGTCCTGGAGAAGTCCTGCAGTCGGGCATGGCCCTTTTTAGTCTATGCTGGGTATTATTGGTGAACAGGATTGGTCTAATTATGTATGAACCTTGAGTGTCAGAAGAGTTGAGGAGTCTACAGCGTCAAGGCAGTACCAGAGGAAAAGCTTCATCCAGCCACTCCTACGGGAGTAGCACTACACTACATAGCAGTGAAATACAATATTAGCTCTTTCCCATAATTAATGTAAAGTAGCACAATCATTGTTGGTGTAGTGGTCCTTTTACTGAGAAAATATTGGTCCTAATGGAAGTGATAGCAATCGATCATTATTATGAGTGATTTATTGCTACATAGATGCTTGATCAGCTCTCTTCTGCACCTGACTAGTTTCCCTGAACAGCAAAGATCCAGCGATACACTAAGGTGCCATTGCAGCCCTATAAAGATCAGAAAAAAAAAGGGAATTTTTAAAATTAATTTAATTTAAGCTATCAATACATGACACAGGATTCCCAGAGCACCATGAAATAACTAAAGGTTGGAGGCTCAGTTCATTAGACTATACATTTTGAGTGAGTTGTCAAGTAAGGGATAAGTCACTGTGATAAGTTTAATGTGTGTAATTTGCAGCTTGCGCTATAGATGCCATTATCAGCAGGATTTTTGGGCCAAGAAAACAGCAAAGGTAGAGTCTGGACATCATAAATGTAGCCTAAAGCTCCCTCTACTGGAATGTAAAATATTTGAACCCTGAAAGCATTTGTTTAGTCCCAAAAAATACAACATGCACAAGACCACTATATAGTCCCTCTATTAGCAACAGATCACAGAAATAAATCATGTGGTTACAGGTATGCATCCCCAGAATATAGTTCTACACTGCATACATGTAATGCCTTCCCAGCAAAAACGAAAACACAAAAAAATTATAATGGATTAAGAATGCGGCAGATGAAAAGGAGAACATAATGGGAACAAGGGAAGTAAATTCTATACTACTGCATAAAGAGGTAAAGCAAGCAACTAGTGTACACCAATAGTAATGGGCAAATACGGATGGTTAGCTAAGAATTATTATTATTGCAAACAGTGATCCTTTTGGATTTCCAAAGTTGCAAGGCTTTGCAAAAAATGAATGTAACCATATAGTGACTCAATTAAAGTGTTAATAAACTCAAAAGGCTTTTTACCTTAATGCAATTTTTGCTTTAAGGATAAGCCTTCCAATACCTGTTCCCTCCACCCCTCTCCCTACACACTTACCTGAGTCCTCTCTTCATACAGCACTATACCCAGCTGCAGCAGCACTGCTTTCTCTTCCTGGTCTCACAGGAGACTCTTAGAGCAGTGGGAGCCATTGGCTCCTGCTGCTGTCTGTCACATTCTGTGAGGAGAGAGCAGGGAGTGGGGCCAAGACACGCTATGTATGTCCCTTGACACACACAGCCCTGCTCAGGAGTGCTCCTGCATGGGTGCCCCGTCAGCGCTTGCTGAGGGGGCACCTGCAGGGAAGGAGGAGCGGACAGTGCCAGTGGGGACTCCAGAAGAGGAGGTAAGGGACTGCTCTGTGCAAAACCATTACCAAGCAGGTAAGTATAACTTTTTTTTTTATTTTAATAAATAGCTTTTACAACCTCCTTAATATTCTGAAAATGGCTTGGATGACTTTATTAAATTAAACTATCCTGGGAATCCTAAAGTCCTTTCAGAGCTTTACCCTCAAATTTGTTTGGCCGCCAAAATATCAATTGCTAAGTTATGGAAAACCTCTATGGTGAGCCTTGATGTCAAATAAACACAATAATCCTGGATAATGATCCATGAAAAACTTGTAAAATGAATGTCAAAGAAGATGTGAGTGGGAACCCTGGATTGAATATATATACATTTATGATCAGAAACCTCAACACCTTTCTAGGGGTTGGAAAAAACATCTCCTAGAGGATAATTGCAGAGGGGTAGGGGATTGGGTAGGAGGCTTTGCTTGGGGGTACCAGTGGGGTGGCAAATTTTCTCTTCTCTATGGTTACAGTGGTAGGGAGAAGCCAGGACTGCTTCTCTGGGATCCATCCATACCCACCTTTATTATATCTTCTCTCTAATATCTACTCTATTTTTATCAATGATTATCACACGTTGAGACTAGAGCAAAGAGCACAAGCATAGAACAATAGATACAGGTTATAATAGTAATAACTAAAGTAAACTCACAATCAAGCAGTTGTCTGAATGAATGATATAAAGTCCAATATTCATATGCTGTTGCATTTCAAAAATACCCTTATTTGTCTATTGTATGCTCGTCATTACAATTATCTGTATAATAGAACCATACTGAATGTGCTATACACAGGGGCGGACTGACCATTTGGAAACTCGGGCACTGCCCGAGGGCCCAGGGTCAGTAAGGGACCCCATGAGATGCCCCTGGTACCTTTTTCATAGGCTTTTTTGAGTTTAGGCAAGGACACAGGGGCCCCATGATCCCCTATTGCCCGGGGGGCCCTATGAGTTGTCAGTCCGCCCCTGGCTATACATATACTAAAAGCATTGAAAAGGAAACAAATGGTGTAATCTACCCATTTATAATAGTGGGAGGGGTAGATTTAAAGGAAATCTGCACTGAAAATATAGGGGCTGCCATTGATGATCTACTACTAAGAATTTAAGTTGCCTATCTGTTTTTGGTGTTTATTCACAGACGTGGAAGCAGCATGCAGATTAGAAAGTCAAAGTGTAGTCCTAATTATTGATCTGAATACTTGCTCCAGGTCAGTGGCTCAGAAAGTACTGAAGCATTGACAGCCAGGTAACTAGCACTTTCAGAAAAGGGGTCAACAGTTGCTGCCCCCATATTCTCCCAAGTAGTGCTCAAAAAATCACCCAATATACCCAACTGTCTTGAGCCACAATTCCTACACCTCAGCTGTCTGCCTAGACTTATTATCAGTACTGATGTTGTAATATCTTATCAATGTTGTATTTAAAAGGCAGGAAATCATGGCACAAGATCAATCAGTAAACTCTTTGCATCTCCATTGCTGATTATTCAGCAATAAGAACATGACATTAACCACTTGCCCTCCAGAGGATTTACCCCCCTTCCTGACCGGGCCATTTTTTGCAATACGGCGCTGTGTTACTTTAACTTACAATTGTGCAGTCATGCAACGCTGCACCCAAATTAAATTTAAGCCCTTTTTTCCCACAAATTGAGCTTTGTTTTGGTGGTATTTGATCGCCTCTGCTGTTTTTTTTTTTTTTGTGCTATAAAAAAAGACTGACAATTTTGAGAAAACAACAATATTTTTGACTTTTTGCTATTAAACATGACCAGTATTCTGCTACATGTATTTGCTAAAAAAAAATCCCAATACGTCTAAATTAATTGGTTTATGTGAAAGTTACAACATTTACAAATGGCGGTATGTATACTGGAGTTTTTTTTTGTACTAGTAATCAGCGATTTATAGCGGGACTGCAGCGGGCATTGGACACTGATTTGGTGTCACTGACATCCCCAGTGACACCAACACAGTGATCAGTGCTAATAAAAAGCAATGACACTGTAGTAGGTTAATTGGCTCCTGTCTAAATTGGCCCTAGTATTTGTATGTATGAATGTGAGTTATGGACCTTAGACTGTACACTCCTTGAGGGTTAGGGACTGATGTGAATGTACAATATATATGTAAAGTGCTGCATACATTGATGGCGCTATATAAGTAGCTGTAATAATAATAATAATAATAATAATAAATAATGGCACTGGGCAGGAAGGGGTTAACATCTGGGGCGATCAAAGGGTTAAATGTGTGTTGTGTATGTTCCACTATGTGGGCTGTGTGTGTGTTTCACTGTAAGCACACTGCTTTTATGGCTCTGCTATGCAGAGCCATAATAAGCAGTGTGTAGGAGCTGACAGGTGAGAGATCTGTATTGTTTTCATACAGGTCTCTCCCCCCCGTCGGAAATCCTCGGAGATTGCCGGGTGCAGGCGGGGAATCACTGTCTGGGACCCGATAATTGACAGCCAAGGCCGCAAATGGCGGTGTGGGTAGGGCGTATGCGCCCCCTACTCGGAACTGCAAAATCACGTAAATATATGTGATTTTGCCCACCCGTGCCGCCCGGTAGCAATATTTCTGCTATAGGGCAACACAGAAGCAGTTAAGAACTAAAAGTGACCTCTACAATGTCTCAGTCTGCTTTACAACACTGATCTTGCTTGACATCTTTGGAAGTATGATGCCAGAGGAGAAACATATTGTATGATGGAATTAGCAGTGAAGCAGTTAGGCAGGTCAATGTACATAAAAGTAGTTTTTAAAAACCTTTAAACTCAAGTTCCACATACTTACTTAGAAACAGAAAGTATTTAGTAATGATTAGAAGCTCTTGCTGTGACCGCACACAAGGCTATTTTTCAGGAGGGCAGTTTGATGTGAATACAATTGCTCCATAGTGTTACTTTACACTTTTCCTCCCTGCAGCAGAAAGCAGCAATGAGCACAGGTAAATTGACTTTGCATGGGAAAGTGGAACTAAAAGGGAGATTGTGGGATTCACGGGTACGAGATAATACCCATTGTAAAGATGGGCAGTGTTGTGGAACATAGTCTAATTCTTCAGCTGAGCGTGACTGACAGTTACTCATCCTCTCATCGAAAACGTCCTGTGATTGACAGCTCAGAGATTGCCTGTATTCATTCTCACTTTACAAATAACACGACTGATAAAAGGAACCAGTGAATACGTGATATGTATTTATGACAAAAAA